GGTAAAAAAATGTGGCACATGATACTCGGCTTCTTAATTGATTCTTAATTTTGTGCCCCTGTTGTTACACACTCCAACAAGGCTCGTGATTGATGACGGTCCTTTGTCTCTGCGGCTCAGCAGGTGTAAAAATCGGACTGTGTATAAAAAAGACAAAAAGAGTACACACACACACACACACACACACACACACACACACACACACACACACAGTATGAGTCACTTTAAGCCCTACTGTTCTTTGAAACCGCCTATTGTTTGTTTCACATCTCAGGTATGGAATTGAATTCCCTTAGATATACTTATGTGCCATGAAGAAAATAGATTCATGTAATTGTGTTATGCCAAAGCCGAGTTCATGATGGCGTATAATTGCACATCGGACCGCCGGCTGTGTTGCTTTGAGCGGCAGCGTAAATTCATTCATGCTTTCATGTCCGGCCAGTCACAAATGTTTGATACCGAATCACAACTCCCCCTCGGGGACAATACATTTGGAAACTGGCTTTGTTGATTCACATAATGCAATTCTGCACAGTTCAGAGGCAGGAGGGGTACAGACCGAGATTTTATCACAGCCAACACTTTGATCTTTTCAAAATGATTCTCATTGGAGCTGGACATTGGTGCGAAATGAGAGATAAAATCACAAACTGGCTGTTTCTGGCTTTTGGAGATATGACAAGCAGGCAATCATAGCAAAATATCTCCTTTTTTTAATCCAAATAGTGTAGGTCACATACAGATAATGAAACTTTCTTGGTTTCCCTCCTCACTAGACAACTACAGACTGTGACAACAGCGGGCAGATCACACATTGTTTTCCTCACAAGTCAGACACCAACAACAGTGACGGTTACCATTCTGGTCTGGAGACCATATTACGACGGACTAACCTTTATTGTTGAAGGGTGTAACATTCACATTCCGCCACTGTGTCTACGTTTAACACGACGAGCATGAAAGGTCGCCTGACAGACTCAGTGCGATCACACACACACACTAATGCAAAAACGGACTTAATATCATTAGCATTACATTTTGCAATGTAAAAAGGGTGCATGCTACTCCGACTTATTGCCTCCTCTGGAGCCTCTGCAAGCCAGTGTGTGCTGTGGGATTATGGAAGTAAGTAACCACAACAACGGTTATTTTTGCAGCTTGTTGAGATCGCTGAATTAAACCGTCATGATGAAGAGCGACCCTTTGGCGAGCAATGTATTCATTTGTTCAGCTTTGGCAAACAAATCTTTTTTTTTACTGATGATCTCCATTGCCAACAGCGCTTGGTTGTATTTTTTTTATGACAGTTTGCTCTTGACAAGGGAAACATGTTTTCCTCGTGCCTCCTTAACGCTACAGCACGTGTTGAGTCATTTTATAGTAATTTGACAATGGATGGTTTTTTTGGCTGCATTTTTAAAATAATATGAAGTATTACTTTGTTCTAAAGAAAGCCAAGGATACATGTGCACGTCCTGGGAATAAGAGTGCTCTGTCTTATGCGTGCCCCGTCTTCCTCATGGGCCCGGGTGATACAGCTGCTCAGGGAGGAGCGAGGAGTGTAGGAAGGAGACAAAAGGAGGCTCGGCGGCTGGTGAAGTGTTTACCTCCCACTGTGTTTTCTCGTTATCTGACACTCCTTCTCAATGACACAGACTCCTCTCTTTCCTCCCTACGTCGTACCTGAAGAATCACCGTATCTTAGCCGCACACGTCATAAGACACATTATCCTCATCTCACGCTTACCAGAAGAAGAAATCCCACACAACTTTTCGCCGTATCGATACTCACTTGCTCCGACAGTGTCAATGGTTCAATAAGACTATTGACAAGTTTCTGCTTGAGAAGAAGATATTAAGTCAATCAGAAAACGTTTCAAACCCACAGTCTGAAGCGGAAATCGTGCAGTCTGCTACTTGGCTGGATCTCACTCCATCACTCTCTCTGTCCCTCCCTTGCCAGATTCCTGTGATTGATGCCGTGTGACGTGATTATTGGACAGCAAATCCTTTCCAATTCACGGCATTAAGGACATAAAGCGGCCACTTCAGTGACTCCCCCGGGCCGGAATACAACTGAATTAGGAGAAGGAGAGCAATTCTGATGAGGCTGTCTGAAAATACTCTGTCAGAATAATGAATGCATGTATCTGAGTGTCACTTGCTGAGAGTGAAAAGGCCTTTGATGTTGTGTTTGGAAAATTGCATAGAAATGAATGAAGAGAGAAAGATTGTTGCTTTGCGGAAAGATTAGCAAGAAGGAAAGGCGCTCTCTCTCTCTGTGTGTGGTGGTGGAGTTTTGACATTTGAACAGGCATGAAATGTAAACTCGGGAAGGTCATCAGTGTGTTCTGAGAAAAGCGCTCTTTCAAGAGAGATTTAAAAGCTGCATACACCCTGTTCCTTCCAATCTAAACACGGTTGCTCTCCTGCCACAGATTAGGACGGTCAGTGCTCAGTTAAGAATGTAGTCAAATAGTGGAAATATGTCTCATGAACAACGGACGATGAGTTTTTTTATTTTACCCCCAATAAAAGCAGTGAACGGCAAGTATATATTGGAAGACATTCCTTAGTGTTTGCTACAATGATACCCATATAATCCCACCAACAGAGCTGTTTGGTAAAAGGTTTCTACATTTGGTGAAACCGCAAATTTTGTCCACTTCCTCACTCTGAAGTGGTCTAAAAGGTGCACAGATGTCCATAATAACAGAAAACATAATATTCAAATATTTCACAGGCCGTTGAACTTTTTCTTGCCTGGTCTCAAAAGACGCTTCTGTTTTGACTACTTGAATATGTATCAATATTTAAATTCATTCATCTATTTGCGTTTCTGAAAGTCAGGAGAATGTTGCAACTATACACTGCAGGATGGAATAACAGTGGCTCTATAATCATATGGAGAGATTTTACATAAAGAGCAGGGCACTTACTCAGTGGAGAGCTACACACACACAGCAGGAGAAGGAGATTTTGACGGATTAGTTATTATCAGGGGTCTTGAAACAGATTTGTAAGATAAATGCCCTTCCTCAAGCATTTACTCCATAGTGATATATTGTTTGATAGAAGGGATCAACTGAGCACTGGCAGTAACGTATCACACATATATATATATATATATATATATATATATATATATATATATATATATATATATATATATATAAACAGAAGGGAGGGGGAAGAGGGGCAAATGAAGCACTGTTTATCTGTTGATTTTCACCCGGCTAGAATCTCACACTAATCCGGCCTCCCTTTTTAATTCTCTCTCCGCTTCGACTGCTCCCTCTCTCAGACATGTATCCCGTTTCTGTTATCTTCCTTCACCTTCCACTCATTCTGTCACTAGTTTCACAGTCGTCACCCAACAACGAGCGAAACAGAAGAGCAGGATGGATGGCGGCTGCACGGAGGAATGTTGGCCCGCTGCAGCGCCTGGCAGACCGGAGAAGGAGACAAACACCAGAGCCCCGTGAATTAAAGATGACGGCTGCACTGAGCGGGCCGGACGGACGGAGGGCAGCGCGTGGAGAGAAAAGCAGATGGATCTGTCGCCTTTTGTGCGGATTACGCAACCTAAAATATCCTTACAGCCCACAATGTCCTCAGAACCATACAAAGAAAAAGCAAGAGTGAGACTCTCCGCAGGCACAAACATAAGTTCGCTGAAGACGTGACGGGGAAACTTTATACCGTGTGTCAGCTTCCTCCCTGTGGGTAAAATTACAATCTTAAAACCTCCCAAAGATCTCCGTTCTCTCTGCCCGTCCGCGTACTTCTACAGTGCCGTGTCAAAGTTTTCCTCGCAACCCATCATTTTATAACAAGGCATGTTGATGTTGGACAGCATACAAACAACAGATCAGTCATGAGGAATCAATACAGTACAACTACGGCAAAGGTTGGGCGTGCGAGCAGTTGGTGCGGGTGCTCCGGGGCCTCTGAGGACACCTCCACCGCTGCTACTCTGTTTACCTCAGGCATTTACAAGCAGTGAAGTCCAATATCTTGTCAATAACCCCTGTGTCTCTGCTTCTGCTGACCCGTGCAGGTTTTACAGCCCACGGTGAATCAGACGGACGGGATTCTATCCAATCCCGTCCGTCTGTCTGTGTCCGTATGACAGTAAGCGACTGCGGGACTCGTCCTGGCCGAGCTTTCTCAGCTCATCAAGCATTCTGCGACCGGCGCTCTCCTCTTCCACTTCCCCTAAATTCTACAGTATCACACCCTCATGCACACGATGCTCTGGCTGTCTGTGACTGCTCGTCTGAGAATTGATACAGGGGCGCTGCAGATGGCGACTTCTCCACAGCTGTTGAGCATATGTGCAACGTTGTCTGGCAGCGGTCTTTGCAAAGGATGCGTTTACATATACGATTTATTATTTAAAGACGCATTGCAAGTAAGGTGGGTAACCATAAACATAGAATATGCGCCTGAAGGTAAAAACCTAAATGTAATGAGAAATGCATAAATGAACTGAGGATAAGCTGCAGTAAGACTTTAATGTAGTTTCAACAGCACACTCAAGACTAAATGTGTGCGAAATTCAGAGAAAGCCGTATCAGTTTCAGTGGATGAGTTCATTTTACGTGTACAAATGCGTGCGACTGTGAGTGTATCTACCGATACACACACTTCTGCGCGTGCACAGTTTGTGTGAGATAAAGTAGGCTCATTTCATTATTCCCTAGTATTTACTGACAGACACTGGACAGGCCTCAGTGAGTAGCTCCGGCTTCAGTATCCCACGCTGTTATGGGTAGACGCAGATCACTGGACACACACACACACACACACAGCATCCCTTGAGTTTAAGAAGGTGTGACAGGGAGTTGTTATATTTGAGTTTTGAAGCCTGACTTTTTGCTGCATCACTCTGAAACGCGCACAAGATGTGTTCGTACCAACAATTTAACTTTAGGTATTATAATGGATTTATTTAGTTCGGGGCTCACGACATTCCAACATCCTGGTTCACTCACCCGGTCCTCTTCTTCTCTGAGGTCTGGCATGGTGCTGATGCACAAGCTGATGACAGTCACCGCAACCATGATCACGGACAGGCAGGCAAAGATCTTCCCTGGTAAGCCAGACTGCGGATTCTCCACCATATCTCTCAGCCAGTTCATCACCTTTCTGTACCTCGTCTCCTCCACCGGCACGCGCTGCATGGCGTTCCTCTGCCTGCACTCCTCCTCGCGCCTCTCCAGCTCGTTCACCTCCTCGATGCGAGTGTACATCTTCCGCTTGCAGCAGCGCTCCATGTACGTTATCTCCACCCCCCAGTAGGTCAGCTCGTCGTGGAGGGAGAGGACGCACATCTCCCTCAGCAGGCGCAGTTTCCCCGCGGCCAGGAAGTTGAGTATGACCCTGAAGGCCGAGGGCGAGCGGTCGAAGAAGAACTCCTTTTGCGCTTCGTCATAGTCGTCGCAGACCCGGGCGATGTCCTCGGCCGATCGGCAGCCACACAGGCGGCCGAGTCTTGTCAGGGGGAACTGCTCCAGAGTGCTCCAGGGGAAGGTGTAGCGGTTTCCCCCGACATTTATCACCGCCAGTAGCGCGTGGTCAATGGACACCAAGTCCTCTGGTCGACGGATGAGCTGAGCCCTCTGGTAGTACACGCCCTGGAGAGAGAATGATAAAAAAGCATCAATGGATGTGCAATTCCTTCATCTCTCTTCTTTTAGAGACATATTCACATCTTATTCATACCTTGATGGTCGCCGTCTCGGGTATTTCCGTGAAGATGTGGTCCAGGCTGCTGTCGTCGCTGACGGACAGGTTGCTGAAGTCATGGTTGGCGTTGCTGATGATGGGCATGGCAGCATCTGGAAAGCTCGCCGCTCCGCACTGGGCAGCGCAGATCAAGTAACAAAAGGCAGAAGGAACCTGTAGTGCGTCAATTTCTTTTTCTTCTCTGTCTCAGCCTCCAAAAACTTATGTTAAATCTTGTAAACCAGAACAACTTTCCGGCCGCAGCCCGGGTCTACTGCACACAACCGGAGCATAAAAATGGCCGTATCTTGCAGTCTTTTGGGCCCCAGCGTCCCTCATAACAAGAAGTTATTTCTCAGTGTTTGACAAGCTATGGTCTTGGCTGCCAACTAACAACTTGAAAAACCCAGGGAGAAGAGAAACGAGGAGTATCAGAATTCCTATTGACATTTCTTTATGTGGACGAGTCTTGGCGGCTCCGTCAGACATCCATGATAGACTCAGTTGGTGGGTCAGGATTCAGCATCAGACGAGAGGGAGAAAGGAAAACCCAAGAGAGAGTTGCTTGAATTGATCAGCGTCTTATAGCTAGAGAGGATGAACTGGATGAGTCATGAGGTGTCCTGGGACTGAGGGGGGTCCTCTGGGTCGCCCAGGCAGGATTAGGGAGGGCCTTGAGCCGAGGTGGCATCTTGCAGGCACTGAGAGAGAAATAGATTCTGTCAGAAAGCAGCTAGTATTGAGTGCGATGAATGCAGGTTACACATAACAGAGAAAGACATGGACAAAGACCAGTCGGGAGATGCGAGAAGACAGAAAAAAGGTGAGAGAGAGGAGACAGAGAGCAGGCCTCTGCGAGACTGCATCCTTCGTCTTCCTTCCAGTGCGAAACAAGACAGACGAGCGCATCAGCTCTGCAGCTATAAACGGCCCGTCAGTGTGGTCAGCGCGAGACTTGATCAGAGAGCAAATTAACTTACACTCACATCAACATCCAATAAGCATCCAGCCCGGATGGTTTATGCTGTAGTAAGTGCGCAGAAAAACCAATGAGCAAGTAGGAAAAGAACACTAGATGGGCAGCGGTCTTATCAACAGACACTGAAGCGCAGAAATGTTTTTCTTGGCAATATAATTGCCATGGAACGTACTGGCACAGTAAAGCACTGCAGTTGCCCAGAATGGCTTGTTGTGTATCAAACCCTGAAATAGTTGTGGTTGATTTCCAAACTGGGTATTGTTATCACATTATTTGTAACTGTGACTAACTTACAATTGTGTCTTTTGTCCTTGAGTTACCTAATCGCACGCATGAAAACCAGCTGTCACAGGGGAAAAGCTCGTCAACGGCCCTTTTAAAGAGCTTTTTTGAAGGTCATTGCAGGAAAAGCCCGAGCTGCATTCCAGTTTGCCATTGTCAATGCAAATCAATCACACTTGTGCCGTTGCTACTTTGACAGTAGAACATGTGTGCATGAAAAAAGGTCCATCCCAACATCACTGCAACACTCTTCATCTTTGAAGGTGTGTTTTGAGCAGCGCGTTTGCATTTATTTTTTACGCAAATGGAAAATTACATTCACTCTGAGATCCAAGGCCTAAATGGAGGACGGTTTTAGGATTGAGTCCTGTGATGGGAAAACGATGAAAGGACAATGGCGAGCTTGAAACAGCTGGAATTATCCCAAGAGACTAGATGTTCTGCCCTGTACTTTTCTCCTGTCATCTTTTGTTGTGAATATAAAAGCTATGATATATTTTTCTACACATGCCACCGCATTTTAATGAGCCACAATCCTGAGGGCAATTCTAATCCATTTTTTAAAACACATAACACGGGCACACATACAGCACTCATCTGTCACTGTGACTGGACCTGACTCACAGCCCCGAGGAGCACGGTGCCGCTGCCTTTGTCAGAAACACAGTAGCACTACATATATTGATCACTGTCAGCATAGGTATCATTTTCTACTGAGCTAATTCGGCTCAGTGTCTATCTAGAGTGCCTACAAGCTTATTGAATGCAGGACTGGACTGTAGAGACACTTTAAAGCAAAGAGGCAGAACCAACATGCAGCACTAATTCAGATACAGGAAGACAGGATCCTGTATTGGTGCAACCAATAAATCACTTCTGTTCACGATTCATTTCCACATCACAGGGGAAAGGGGGCACGATGAATAACTTATTAATCGATTTGTATTCCTTGCGAATGCGGCAGTTTTTTCTTGGTGGAAAGTTCATTAAAAGAGGTATTTTCGGGTGGCACGCTGGTGTTATCGGCTCTGCTCGACACGAAGTGGACAGAACAGACAGGGAGGATGCGGAAAGCAAACTTTTTTTTCTTTTAATTTTATTTAGGCTGTGGATGATGAATTTTTGCAAGATGAGTAGAGCCTACTGTAAATATAATAACGGCACTTGTGAGCTAAAATGAAAGTTATGCTGTATGCAAATTGAAGCACATGCAAAAGTCAAGTCAAATCTTGTTTCAGGCATTAAGCTTATATTATTTAACAGGTTAACAGGATCCTATGTGTCTCATATGGATTGGGTTGCATCGATGCAACTAACACCATATCTCCTCTATCGCAAACACACACACACACACACACACACACACACACACACACACACACACACACACACACACACACACACACACACACAGTACAGTCCCGAGACCATTTATGTCTAATAGCAAGACATTTTTACTTAGATTAGATTCTAATAATCATGTTTCGCTGATTTCGTGGAGAGAAAAAAAGCAATACAACAACAACCCTTTTGTTACATTACAAATAATTTAATATTAGGAAAAACTTTGATTCATTAATAGAGTTAAACCTAAATCGAATACACCGGTTCTGGAGACAATTGGACTTTCTTACCGTGTTGCCGTGCTGACAAGATAAAAAAAGGACAGCAGCATCCCTCGTTCTAAGTATTGTGACAGCATTGGAACTTCTCCGCAGATCTCGAGCTACACGCAAAACCTCCCGCGAGCATCGGTGGAACTTGTGAAGTGCATCTTACCATCGCGAGCCCGGCACTCATCTCCGGACGGCCGGTCCGGATCGGCACGAACTCCCTCTTGGCGCCCCGCGGTGCCTCCGATCATTCAACCCGAAATCAGGGTGTCAACGGCCGTTTCAACGCGCCACATGCGGCGACACGGCGATGCCTCTGCGGCGTCTGCATCCCAGGCGCCGGGGGAGATAGTCTGAACGTACCGGAGATGATGCGGCGGGTGAAGCCTTGTGTGCCCTGAAAGTGTCCCGTTACAGCTCGGTTAGAGCTGCTGCAGAGGAGGAGGAGGAGGAGGAGGGGGAGGAGCGGGGAAGGGGTGCGGTGGACGCTGGGCCGGGGAGGAGGGAGCGTGAGCCGCGGTGCGTAACAGGAGAGGAACCTCAACCCAAGTTCAGGTTTGCGTAAAAGGTGGCGGAGGGAGGAATGAGGTCTGTTCCAAATGGTGGCAGAACTGTAGTGACAGTGAGTTTCTGAATACTTAACATTTCTCCCTTCCTCTTTAGAGATAATATGAAATTCAAGGGCACTTGAGCCTTGGAGCACTCAAGGGCAGATGCTCCAAAACGTTTCACGCACTGTGGGGGGGGGGGGGCGCAGATTGCTCCCCGCTGCTGAAGGTTGACCATTCTGAATCCCCAGGGAAGCACCAACTGTCCAAATGTTTCCGCTGGAGTCTCATTGTAAGGAAAATACGTGCTCATCTAAGGCAGTTTTGTCGTTAGTGGCATCTTGAACTGTCATTTTGTGTTCTACTGCCCGTATACTGGGGAACTGCAAATGTATGCATTTAGACTGACTCGGCTGTTCACATGTGACATATTTAATTATAAATCCCCTACTTTATTCTCTGTGCAATGCTAGTTTGGTTTTTCAGCTTTTATGAGAGTCACTGTGGAAATATGTGGCTTCGGAGAGAAGAGGGGGTTTGCTGGGGGGTCACAGAGCTACGAGACATGACCTTGTAAACGTGCAGCGTGTAATATCTGGCTGATATGCAGTTTGGTTGCACATTGAAACCTTCTGCAACTTCTCCCATGAGACAGTTAGTAGAGTAGAAGAACTACAGGGTCTTAGTTCGATTTAGGAAATCCTGGTTGGGATTAATATGAGTGAGTGGAACCCTTTTTTAAATTATGTCATCTAATGTCACCTGGTATGTAGTGAAGGCCCATAGTCCAGGTTGTACTGGAGCCAAGAGCTGACCCATGACGGCCGAGCAGGGAGAGGCACAGGGCATAAATGAGAATGTAGATTCAAAAGTAGAAAGAAAAAGAAAAATACCACAGAGCAGCTGAGATTCAGACTTCCACTGAGCTGACGAAACAATCTGGGAAGAGAGCCAGGGTCCTTGAACTACTTGAGGCTGATGTTCTGATTGTAGCAGCAGGTGCGGCATGGAGCTGATGCCGCGCACACACACACACACACATACACACAGAACAGGGGAGGAGACACAGAAAGGTACTGGAGTTGGAAGACAGGTGTGGTCTGTGCAAAGTAACCAGAAGGGGAAATATTATATATATATTTATTCTAACTGATTGCAATTCTTTTTTACTTTTCTCCATGTTGTAATGCATTAATGTTCTGCAATACCTGCATTTTCCCTTCGGAGAACAATAAAGACCTATCTAATCTCATCTGAACTAACCTCATCTCATTTGACTTAAAAGCACTTTATCAGGATAAACGTCAGGTTTTTTTCAGTGTACACTTCAGGAATAATGTTAAGTACACGTTTTTTCTGGAAAATGCATTTTATGTACAATATCGACGTGGGATGGGCCCAGCATTTCGCATGACCCAGACAGAGAAACTAACTGAATGGGACAATCTTCCGTGTTCAGTACTTACTTTGAAAACACTGACCGTTCCAGACCTGTGGGATAATGTCAACCCCTGCCACACTAAATTTGCACAAGGTGAAAGTCCAAAGAAAAATAAAAAATAACAATATGCCTCCAGATTGGTCTGCTTCACTGGCCTCACTTTGTCCTTGAGAGGCAGCTCATTAGGTCCCATGCGCCTGAGGCAACTGCTAAAACCAGCAAACACGCTGTCCAGGCCCTTATGGCTGCTACCGGAGCATGCAACACATTAGTGAGGGCAAACTGAAGAGGTGAGGGTCTGTGCATGTTTGTGTGTGTGTGTGTGTGTGTGTGTGTGTGTGTGTGCTGAGAACGGCCACGTTTGGACTTATTGAATCCCTCCATCACTATTCATTAACCTACAGCAGCATCGGCCCCCGGCTGGTTAGTGTATGCAACATGAGACTGATCACACAAGCCGGGCTATTAGTTCTCGGGCCGCCTTTTTCTTCTGACAAAGGAGACGGCGTTTCAGAGCTGAATGGATTAGGTGCCCTGCGATCGGCCCTACGGAGACAGTAATGCAGTTTTCCTTTTTAAATTCCTTTTGTCATTTTCTTCATCTCACACACACATACAGACCTATACTGAAAGAAACACAAACGTTTTTTTCAGACCGGATTTCGCACAGGTGGTAGATAGGGGGACGCTCAGGTTGTCCAACATTGAACCGGCTAACTGCTCTATGTTTTGCACCACTCCCAGCTCCTTCTTTGTGACCCTGCCAAATGTTTTTTTTTTTTCATTTATCTCACACACACACACACACACACACACACACACACACACACACACACACACACACACACACACACACACACACACCTGCAGCTGCCATTTCACACACACTACCATGCAACGAAAGGGATTGCGGTACACACATGAAGCAGAAAACACAATGATAGGCGCAGGCCCTGTCGGTACTAATATCCAGCCTCAGTCTGGAGGATAAAGAGTTTAATCCCTCGCAGGCACGAGGTGCTGGGATGAGATTGAATAGAGCCAGTTTGTGGCAGAGTCCGACGAGTAGTCGTGTAGGATGTGTGCAGGATAAGAGCAATGAGTCACTCAGCTATTACTGCACAAACCTTCATGCAGATGGCCACCAGAAGGTCCAGCCCGATGGTCCCGTCCAACTTTTTCTCCCTTTCACCTTAAAACTCTCTCTTCTGACTGTCCTCGGCCCCTCCTCTGTCTGTGATCCTCTGCTGAAATGAGTTTGATCTCAGCACGAACAAGTTGTGATCAGGTTTGTTGCTCTTTCAAAGGACAATGTGAATGGACAGATTAACCAGCGTCCAAGATGGAATGAAGAGCACGAAGAGGCAGGTGAGAGGAAGGATAGGAAATGGACTGGATTGGCATGCCGAGGAGGAGACAAGAAGGCATTTAATGGGGGAAAGAGAGGAAAAAGGTTGACAGGAGCACGCGTCTCACAGAGGGTGGAAAAAGAGAGATGGCGATGCGGGTACACAAGGGTGGAATTAAAAGGAGAGGACAGGTTGACGAAACAGCAGGCTCATGCACAAAGACAGCTCTTACGTCAGCTCTGTGTCAATGAGGGTCATGTTGTCAGTGTAGAAGGGTAAAAACAAACCCTTTGGTTTAAATGCTAACGTGATAATGCAAGATACTGGTGTTTAGAAGTTATAATTTGTTTAACATGTTCACCACCTCATCATTATAGTGTGTCAGCATAATTGCCTTCACGAGTTATTTGATTAATTAAATTCGAACTCCGATGAGATGATTCTGTCTTAAACATGCAGTCGACCCGTTTATTTGCTTAAACTAAATCTTAAACTTGTGTTATATTTTCATCCTAGTGTAGATATTTGTGGAACCACTTGTTTGTCAGCTGTGTCAACAGCTCGCCTCCCACACACAACATGTTAATGCAGTTTTATTTTCTTTCCGCTCTGCATGTCTTGAGTTGTTGCTGCATTTCAGGTGGACTGTCGGGTATATTCAAATTACTCATATCAGGGACATATCAGAGTGAGTTACAAATTGTCTGTGTGACATGGAATCAAATGTTATTGTAATTGGATATGGACACAGTGGATATTTATTTCAATTCAATTCAATTCATTTTATTTTGTATAGCCCAAAATCGCAAATTACAAATTTGCCTCAGAGGGCTTTACAGTCTGTACACATACAACATCCTCTGTCCCGAAACCCACCATCGGCACAGGAAAAACTCCCCAAAAAATGAAAAAACCCTTCAAAGAGGGAAAAAAGGGAAGAAACCTTAGGGAGAACGTCAGAGGAGGGATCCCACTCCCAGGATGGACAGACTACGATGGATGCCATGTGTACAGAATGAGCAATGTATAATACATGCAATTCCTATGACAGAAATGATTCAAGTAATTGTGAGTAGTAAGCCAGGCGCACAGCAGGACCACTGATGGTGAGATAGAACCACCATCCACAGAAGCCTGTGGGGAGGGAGAGCACAGAGACTTTAGGAGAGGGGAATGATGGTTTATGAGTACAGTAATATGATTAATATCCAAAATAATAATGATGATGATGATGGCAGCAGCAGGCATCAGCAGGGCCACGGCAGGTGTCAGGACCAGGGTCCAGAAGGAACTACGATCTACGGAGACCTGATAGGGGAGAAAGCACAAAAAACTCCCGGAAAGAAGCTGAATTAGTCATGTGCATTAATAAAAGGTGAATTATGGTAGAACGAGAGCGTGAGAGGGGAGCTCGGTGTGTCCTAAGAATTCCCCCGGCAGTCTAAGCCTATAGCAGCTTAACTAAGGGCTGGTCCGGGCTAACCTGAGCCAGCCCTTACTATAGGCACAATCAAAGAGGAAAGTTTTAAGTTTTACTTTAAAAGAGCGGACCGAATCTGCCCCCCGGACTGAAAGTGGAACCTGGTTCCACAAAAGAGGAGCTTGATAACTGAAGGCTCTGGCCCCCAGCCTACTTTTTAAAACCATAGGAACAACAAGTAACCCAGCATCTATGGAGCTATGGATTTATGTTTGTGTGTACTTGCACCAAAGCCTAATTTTATTCCCGCAGGGTCTGACACTCTTCTCCAGTCCTGCGTCCCCTGTGGTGATGGAAGGACCAGATAGTGGCTGCAAGAATTCAGAGTTCATCTGGAAGACCAGGGGAGGATTTTAGAAAATAAAGTACCCAATGTGCTTTTTTGTCTTTTTGTCGGGGGTAGTTCTTTATGTTTCATGGTTTTTATAGTCCATGGAGTTTACGATGTCCCATGTCTTCCAAAAGGCTTTGTTGGTGTGTTTTTCCTTTCTGGGGTTTAGAAAACGTACTTATTCAGGTTCAGGTTTCTGATGTCATTGGACGATATGAAGCCTGCGGATCAGCAACCTTCTGCACTTGATGAGTGTAATGTTTTGTTTTAAGGACAATGAAATGTGGAGAAAGGTGCTTGCCAAATCTTTATTCAAACCACCCATGTATCTTTTTAACGAATATGAATATTATGTTTAGATAGAGCTGAATACTGCAAATTATCAAGCTTTGGTCTGTAGCCAAACTTAATGTTTACCAATTATATATTCAATTCAGCATATT